GCCCCCTCAGAGTCCAAGTGAAGCAAATAGAAGGTCAAAATGAGGGAGGCAGTGTTGTCAGGCACTTAGCACCTGGGGCATGATCCTGAACCATCAGAAACTTATGTCCAAGGATCTCCCCATCCCCCCAGCCCCCGCCATTTATTCTTCCTGTTGTTTCTGTTGCTTCCAACTTGGCTGCCCCTGCTCCCCACCTTGACCTAATCCAGTAATTCTCTTTCATTTACTTAACAAATATTTATTGAAACCCACTTCTTCCGTTAAGGTCACCCTAAGAACCACAGTCATTTTTCTTCTCTAAATTCCTCTAACACAGCAACTTTAGCAAAAATCGAGTTTTTCGGTCAAATGAGTTTGGAGACTGCAGCATTCTGTACCTCTGACTAAGGCTCCATGATGCACATTAACAGAAATGGCTCTTAACAGAAATGGCTCTGAGAAGTGCCAAAATATAAAGACTGGTGTAGCCTTAACTCAGAGGTTCCCAGAGGTATTAGGCCCTGTGCTGGGCACTGGGCTTGCAAGGAGGGTGAGGCCGAACACAGATCTACCCCTTCAGGTGCTCACAGCTGGGGGAGACAGGTAAGTAAACAGCTAATTGCAATACGATTGTATACATGCACTCATAGAGGCATTTGTAAAGTGCTGACAAAGCAGAAGAGGAAGTGAGTTCTACCTAGAAAATTAAGGGAAGGCTTTGCAGTTGAGACTGAGTAGGAGTTTTCTAGATGGAGAATATGGGAAAGGGCATTCCATAGAAGTAACAACATATAGCATATTTGAACATATAAGTATACCTTTGTGTTGGGCTTTGTGGTATTATATATTGTTCAAGTTTTCATTTGTTTCTTTTGCATGCAATATACCACTCAAACTGGGTTAAGCAACAATGGAATTCATTGACTCATGTAACAGAAAAGTTATGGACTTTAGGCATGGCTGGATCCAGGGGCTTAAATTGTGACATCAGGATGTAGTCTTTGTTCTCCATTTCCCGACTGTTTTCTTTTTGTTGACTTTTCATTCTCAGAGTGCCTTTCCCAATGAGATGGCAAAATGGCTGCTTACAACTTCCAGTCACATCCCTACCAGCAGAAAAGGAGTTTCTTTTCCTCGATGCTGTCAATAAAAGTCCTGGGACTACTACTTATTGGTCTAACTTGGTTACTTGTACATCACTACACCACTGTCTTGAGAAGGGGCATGGAATATTCTCACAACCCAGGCCTGGATCATGTGCTTACCTCTGGAGTTGGGGTGAGGTCAGCAGCTCTCAGTTCTCATGGGCTGAGAACTGGGGAGAGGTAGTGTCCTGTGCAAGGCATTTTATGTTGGTCCCCTCAGATCTACTCTCCACCCTTTTCCTTCCTGATTTGTGCCTTAGAAAGCCAGTCTGCACGGATGGCTTTAGTTGGTGCCTCTGGCTTACAGTTTAATTTATCCAATAGAGACATCTGGAGGGGATCAGAAGGTTGGAGGAAGAAATAAGGGGATTATTCCACAGGCCCCCTCCCCTTCCGAGGGACTCTGTTCATCCAGGTCTCTGTCCTAGTCGGATATAGCCTCCCGTCTCTTGCCTAGAGGTGGTGATGGCTCCTCTGTGTTGGAAGCTCGGTATCATACCATTATTCCTCCTCGTTTCCCTCAACCCTGTCCACACATTTGTTAACCTTTACCAAGCTCCCCTCAGATTAACCTTCTGCTGGAACCCTGATGGCAACACTTATCAAAAGCAACTCAAGTTTCTATTACCAAAAGAAAGGGAAATGATAAAGAGCAGACACCAGCAGTGAGGCAGCAAAACTGGTTTGGTAGAGCTGTTGTAATAATGCAGACCAGAGGTGACAGTGGCCTGGACAGCAATCACAGGGGAGGAAGTGGTGAAAAATAGTATGACTCTGGCTATGTTATAAAAGCAAAGTGAACAAAATTTACTGATGAGTCGTATGTAAGTTATGGGCATTTGAGAGGAGTTGAGGATGGAAGT